CTCTCATGCGGCTCTCTTGTGAGAAAAGAGCTATATTTCTGATTGGCTGGGCGGATTGCAAACCACGCCCCGTAAAACTCAAATTATTATCCTCGCATTAGCATTATTAGCATTAGCATTAGCCCAGCGCAGAAACGCAGAGAGACTAACTTATGGCAACACAAAAGAAAACATGGGAGCGGTGGAGATGAGGAGGTGTTGGCGTTCTGGCGATTTACTCGGATGGCTTCAGTAGAAGCTGCTGGGAGTCCCAGCAGCTTCTACTGAAGCCAGTCCCCAACTCCGGGGACTTCCGGCCGGGGATTTTGGGCGGCAGTATACGCCGTGAAGTTGTTTGCGGCCTGCCAGTAAACCCAAAGCAGAAGAAGTGACGTCAGCGGCTTCATTTGCCTAATCTTCCCCCAGAGACTTATTCCGGTGTGAACGCGATCTGTACTTAGTTCATGAGACTAAAGGGTTCTCATGAACTAAGTTCTGATGAACCTTTGTGGGAAGAGTACTGCGGTGTGAAAGCGCCTAATGTATTTTCTATATTTGGTCCTGTTGTTGTGTCAATGCTTGAATAAGAATGGCTGTATTAAAATGTGGGTACCCTCTCCTTGCTCTGCAGAGTGTGCCAGGTGTGATCGAATGCTTGAAGATCATCACCAGAGTGAAGTCTCGGCGCATTGCCAAGTTCGCCTTCGATTACGCCACCAAGAAGGGACGTAGCAAGGTCACCGCTGTTCACAAGGCCAACATCATGTAAGGGTTCAGCACAGCTCCCTGTTTGCTTCTGAAAAACAATCATTCCTTTGTTTGTTCATAAAATCAAATTGATTTGTCCTCATGTCCTGTCTTATTACAGGAAACTAGCTGATGGCCTGTTTCTGCAGTGCTGTGCTGAGATTGCAGAGCTGTACCCCAAAATCAAATTTGAGACCATAATCATTGATAACTGTTGCATGCAGGTACATACAGCCTCTCAATTAATTCCTCCAACTTAATCTTTAAATAATTGGCTTGTTTAAGTGTCCCTTTTCAATTTCTTGTTTAAACTTCTCATCGTCTCTTACCGTACTGCAGCTGGTGCAGAACCCGTACCAGTTTGACGTGCTGGTGATGCCCAACCTGTATGGGAACATCATTGATAACCTGGCAGCGGGGCTGGTTGGTGGAGCGGGAGTTGTTCCTGGAGAAAGCTACAGTGGAGAGTATGCTGTGTTTGAGACCGTAAGTTTAAAAATTCATATTGTTTTTTAATGTGATTCATAAGTTAAATGAGAATGCATGGCAGTAAATGGTATTGTTGCAGTTCAAAAAAATAGCTATATCTATTGACACAGTCTAACTATTGTTTCAACTCAACCTTTCTGTGTCACTTGGTGATGGAGACGTCTTGTGTCTGTCTGTTTTCTTTCAGGGTGCGCGCCACCCCTTTGCACAGGCTGTAGGAAGGAACATTGCTAACCCCACAGCCATGCTGCTCAGTGCTGCTAACATGCTCAGGCACCTCAAGTGAGTCAAATGTTTATGTTGTGTTTTCAGAAGCACAACACATTTCACACCACACCTCCTAATCCTCGGTCCTGGTCCACCTTCAAGCCTTAAGCTGCCTTCTCATGATACACAACTGGCTTAAACCGCTAGTTTAATTTCTGTAGTTTCCTCCCTTGTTAGCTTGTTAGCTCCCTTGTTAGCTACATACAGCTGTCATCTTATTTGCTGCGCGTCAAAGGTCAGCGACAAACAAGGTCAAAGTTGGCAGAGGGTAACGCTTCCGCCTAATCAGGTCAGGTTGCACTGCTCTCTAGAAGCTTGAGAAAAACCAGCAAACAAAAGTTAGATAGATTAATTATCCAACTAAATAAATCCCAACACCTTCCTTTTAGGCCTGCGTTTTTTCACATTACCAAAGCATTCTATGCCAACTTTTTTAATTATTTAAGTTTAGTATTGCGGACTTTTTATTGTGATGTTACTGAACTATGAGTTTTTAGTGGTGATGAGAAGCGGTACAAATGCCATCCAATAATTTAATGCATAAATAATTGGACAGGCTTATTAAAAGTAACAACAGCAACACTTTTAATGCTGTCAACAAATATTACTCAAATGATTCCTAAATGAATGGCTTACCCTAGGTGTGACTCTAGGTCTGAATGTTGACATGTGTTTAAGAACATCAACAAACCTCCCTCTTTGTCCCTGTTTTTTTAATGCAGCCTGGAATATCACTCCAATATGGTGTCAGATGCTGTGAAGAGGGTAATCAAGCAGGGCAAGGTAAGTTATTGTGCGTGAGTGTGTGTGAGTGAGAGTGAGAGAGAGACACACCTGCTATGAACAAAACTAACACTATTAACAGGGAATGAGAGACCAAATTAAAAGATGTGCTTCTTCTTCAGAAATGTGAAGATAACAACCTTGTTTACTTACCCTCAGAATGTGTTTCTTAAAGATGATGTTGCTTGTCAGTTTTGTGGGTCAATAACTGTAATCTCATATTTCTGAAAATAAACAATGAAATATAATTATTAGAATCATTCGGTCCTTAAAGTTGTAAAATGCACTAAAAGCCGAATCTAGATTTATTTTCTGTCCATTCATTCTACTGAGCCGAGAGTGGGAGCTCGGGGGGCGGGGCTTAAGGGGCGCATGCTCCGTGAGCGCACATACGGGTTCTTCTGCTCTGACAGCCAGGCATGATGGGTAATCTCTCTGACGTTTTGCTCTCTCAAAAGTTGGGCCATTTTGTCTTCATGCGCCAATGAGCAGCTCTCATAGGAACGAAGGAGACCCCACCTCCGACGCTGTATCCAGTTCTTATTATACATCCATGGTGTGGACTGATAGGATGTGCTAGTTCCTAGGCACTGCCAAGTGGTCCTCGAGTTAGGAAATAAAGGACAGAAAGAAAAAAAAGATCTTAATCCTAAAAAATCTGGCGAATACCAGAAACACTTTAAGTGTAATTTTAGCAGTTCTTGACCCACATATGACTCCATTTAATAACCTGCGAACTATGAGTTAGCATGTTAGAGAGCCTTTGATAACTGACTTTCAAAATGTATTCATGTCATCTTATTTGAGCTCTTTTCTGATGCACTGAATTACCAACAACTCATCTCTCCCAGGCAACTGCCTGTTGCTCTTGCTCCTCAGTGACTCTAACCTGTAACAAACACCAGCATGACATCCGTAAACCTTAGTCTCTCCGATTTATCGCTTGGTCAATCGGCTCTAAATCGCATTTCAGCAATAACTTCACTTCTTCGTTCTTCTCAAAAAGTTTGTAAAAGCTGTTCTGTGAATGGGGTTAGCATTATATTTGAGGAAACATTGTGATTGTGAGAAATTGTTTGTCGTTTGAAGGCAGAATTTGCCTGCACGTTGTCTGAAGTGCCCTTCCTCTCCCTCTTCCCTATCCTTTAATTCCCTCTCCTTCTACCCCACTACCCTGTGTCTGTCCGTCTTTGTGTGCGCACTTGCACGTCCCAGGTCCGGACCCGAGACCTTGGCGGTTACGCCACCACTAGCGACTTTGTGCGTGGTGTTACGGAAAACCTGCGTCACCGACCTGTTCGATAAGATGTATCGTCACACTGCTTCCCTAAATCTGGACTTTGTTCTTAACATGAAGTAGACACATGTAAAGACTCACCTCCCCTCTGACATGACATAGTGTCTCACAGTTTTTGACAAACACCAGGAGCATCATACTGTACGAGGATTAAACTGTGTGTGCAGCTCATGAGGCTTCCTCTCATGGATTTGGATCATTACATCTATATAATTATGTTTCAATTCTTCTGAGAGTTATTTTGTCCTTGTGCTTGTTGCGTCAGCCATTTCAGCCTACCTCTCCACTATCATACATTGTTAGAAACGGTCAACCCGGCTGCCTTTATCTACAGATTATATCGACTAATCTTTATTTTCGTCACACTTCACCACCGAATTACCTTAGTTTTATCAAATGTTCTCATAATATCCGCTGTGACCTGATATACAGAATGATAACAGTACTGCATCATGACCCACTTATACTGTAACATTTCTGACCCTCAAATGTCTTCGTGTTTTCAATAAAACTCTGTTCTAACATTGCATTGCTGTAAACTAACATCAACATTTTGGTTTAGTAAGTTACTGTTAGGCAAGGCCAAACCCGTCATATGTGTTTTACCTTGAGATTAATAATACAATTGCTATGTTAACATTAATTAAACAAAAAATACATTACTTTCAGGTACTACTTCATTGACTGTCAACAAACGTTTAGGTATTGTTACAAACTTAGAGGTATTGTTATAATTGTACAGGTTAATAGCTAAAGAAATCCTCTGTGTGACGGCCACAGTGCCCGTAAAGCCAGTCCTGAATTCAGAATCAAATATAAGACCAAATTATACTGAAGATTTTTTGCTTAATTTCATTATTTTTTTGTTCTCAGTTTTATTTAAACATTATCTCCAAGGTCTCATAATAAACAAGTATCAGATGGTTGATGCCAGTCAAGCTGTAAGACATTTAAACGCTGCTCTACCTCACCAGCGGTCCATGTTTTCGTCAAAATGTGCCAAGATTTCAAAACAATAAAAGATAACGTATTACTCACTGCACTCTTTATTTGAATTTGGGTGCACTCAAATGTTTCTACTTTTTGAATAATGTATACTACCACTAGTGTGAACAGCGTCGTCTTGTCCTTTTTTCTTTTTGGTCTATTAAAATAAGTGTCCATTTTGTTTAATAATCCTTTAAGGAGATGTCATGCCTGCATATTAAAGCTTGTTAAAACTGTGATTAAATAAATAACACTTTTGGACCCTGAATGACATAACTATGGTTGAATACTAATTAATAAGAATGATTGCATGTTGGACCGTGGACAACTGTTTCTGAACATTAATACTTCATCTGATTTAAAGATGTAATTTAAGCGACTGATATATGTAGATTCTTAGCCTTGATTAATGCTGCTAATGATAAAATAATATGAGAAAATAAATAATCTCATCTCAATCTGATTTCTAAAAGCAGTCCTCTTGGGTGCCGTTTTTAAAGGCTCTCTAACAGGCAGGCGGTGATGCTGTATGTGGACATGTGTTTCTGCAGCTGTGCATATAGTAACAAAGTGTCTTTATGTTTGCAACAGGTGCGCACTGGGGACCTGGGGGGCTACGCCTCGAGTGACGAGTTCACCAGGGCTGTCATTGCTAACATGGCAGTGTAAAGCGCTGTGTTGGCAAATCTGTCAGCTGCTGAGACGCACACAAGGCTTTTTATTTACATCCTGTTAAACTCCTCTTTTGACTGATCTACGCACACACTTTTTTTTTTTTCCAGGAACAGTTAACCCACATTTTCCATATTAAACACCGTGAAATGCAGGTGAAATGTGCAGCTATAACATCAATAATCTGTATTTTGCGTGTAGCATATTAACTATGACATCTAATGCAAAATGTGGGATGGACCTTATTTCTTTTATGCGCACAAATCATGTTCCTTATCCTTAATATACTATTTTTCTTAATGGTTTTATGTCGGGACATTAACCAGTGTCAACACATGGTGTACATTATTTATTTACTTCAGGTTTTAGCACTATTGCTTCTTCCTTTATGATGAGATATGAATAATAAAAGAGATATAACATCATGTGTGCAAAATCTTTGCGTGAATGTCAATAAAAGGCTGATGTAGTATAAGGTAACTTAATCATGGTGGCTTGTGGCTCACTTAGCACGCAGCATGAGGAGCCCATATCTAAGCCATATCTCGGTTTCCAAACTTGCACGTCAGGTGGACTGCAGAATTTATAAAAAGACTTGCTTTGTGCCGGCTGAAATATGATCCAGAGCTGTGAACAAAGGATTATGTGGAGATGAACCTGAACACAATGTTTGCACAGGGTTGATTATTCTTTATCATGGTTTGATTCATTAATAATTGGTTTGGATTTAATATTGTTTTTTTTGTCCAACAAGCAATCCAATACCCAAAGGTCTTCAGTTAGATAAAAGATTGAGATATTAACATGTACTACGGGCTTACAAAATGTCTGTCATGGTAGTAAAACTTCACCATTAAAATGATCCATTTCGATTGGCTTTTAAGGCAAAGGACCTTATATGTAAATCAAGCCCCATTCACTATTGACAAAGTGTATTTAATGTTGATAAAACAATTACAAAAATATAACTGAATACATCTGTAAATGGTACTGTTAGTTACATAATAAAAAATGTATTTAATTTCAAAGCTTAAATGTTATACCAAGCTCATTATAAATGGCTAAAGCATAAAGATTAATATTAGATGTATCACTTCATTTTAATTATTAAACCAACAATATGTTTTATTAATGCACTGTTATATTTTCAGTTGTCTGATAACCCTTTTTCTGAGTAACTTGGTCTTTATTTCTGAACCTGATCATTTTTGTTCGCAACAACAACAAACTTTATAAAAACCTTTAGCTGTCATCATTTATTTTTAAATGTCACACATTGTTACTATGGACCACACTCCACTTTTAAAACATGTCATGTCACTGTCCCTTTCTACTTTATCCATCATCCCAGTAGTACATATACTGTATTAATGAACATCAACATACTATTTAAATGTGTCAGATTCCAGAAGTACATTTACTCAAGTGTACTTGAGTACAATTTTGAAGTACTTGTACTTTACATGAGTATTTACATTTAATGCTTATTTGTGTATTATGACAATAATGTATTGTTACTTTTACTCAATTAAAGCATCTGCTCATTATAAATAATGATCTTCCACCACTGTCAGATTCAGAAAACAATAAAGACAATCTTATGTTTAAAGGTCCCCTATTATACTGTTTTTCATCAATATAGAATAGGTCTCAGATATATAGAAATGCAGATCATGCATTGTAGCATCCCATAAAACCCTCTGTTTCAAAAGTGCTGATTCTCTGTCTTTTACTTAAGATGAAAATAAGGAGCCACTCCCCTCTGAGAGATATTTGGTTAAAAAGAACACAATGTTGCTCTAGGAGGAGATTCAGGTGATAAGGGGGGGGGGGGGCGTTTACTTTGGCTAATGGTTACACAAGCCTAAAACACATTTCAGACAGGTTTTTATATAAATGTATCAGGACAAAAAATGAGCGAATCTTTTTTTCTGATACTTTCAGAATCTCTTTACACAGAGGGGACACGTTTATGTATAAAAGACATGAAAAAGTGGATTTTGCATAATAGGTGACCTTTAAAGAAACAAAAAATGTTTTTTTATTATTAGCCCTCTGCAGTGTCAGTGTGTGAGCTCCGGCCCGGCCAGCAGGGGGCGCTGCGGGCTTCGGGATCAGGAGCAGAAGAGACAGGGCTGGCCTGGGAATTTGCTGCTCGCTTCCCATTCTTCCTATGCAGACAGAGACACAACATGGCGGACTAGAATAGTCGGCCGACGCGCCCGGATACAGCGGATAAACCGTGGGATTCAACACCCAGGAAGGCCAAGAAAGTAACACTCCGCAGGGACGAGAAGCTAGGTCGAATCGAGGACTTTTTTCGTGGGGCTGCCGTTCTTTCCTGGAGGATTTATCGGATAAACTGAGTGCGAAGTCTTGGCTGTGCGTCCCAGATCGTGCTCTGCTATCACCCAGGTCCCCCCCACCCCGCTCACACTCTGGTTCCTGGGGTGTGGAGACAGGGGCCGGGGTTGGAAAAAACGTGGAAGAGAAAGAAAGGATACATTCCTACTTGGCTTCGCTGTTTTTTTTTTAACCCCCTCCTCGGGTTTCCTCTGGGCGCTACAGGAGTTGTGGTGAGTTTTCTTGTTTTGCAAAAAGCCCGAATCACACTTGTTACAATGTAGCTGTAGCAGCATGTTTCCTATAGCTGTAACAATTGTGTCACCCACAAACAAGCACTTTGTCCCCCGAGTTTAGCCTCACAGCAGGATACATTACATGATACCTGTATCACAGTGGCGATAAACCTGCAGCTTAGGTAATGATTAGGGCTGTGTTTAATACTTGTAAACCTCTTTGTGACGCTTGAACATTTCAGAAGTAGCTTGGAGGCAGGGAGGGATTTTTTCTTTTTTTTGGGCGAAGGGGGCTCTCAAGAAAAGGGGATGAGTGCGACAACATTAGAAAAGAAGTCAGAGGTTGTAACTCGGTTTGATCCAACACGGATGATGTTTGCGCTGGCAGTGGAACAAAGAGGGGGTCCAGGTTTGTCCTGCCTCACTGGAAAGTACACTTTATTGATCAACGCTTTGTTATTACACGTCCAGAGAGAGTGGGGAGCAGGCTGGTGGGTTTGGGAGCAGGAGGGGGGCTTCACAACAGGAATTAGGTCGGCCTAACATTAACATGTATGCTCTGTCAAATCACAGCGGCTGCTTTGTGTTTCTTCTTCTTCTTCTGCACTCTGACATGGAGTCTCTCTCCCTCTGAAGAGTCTCCTCTCCCAAAGTTGTTTGTAATGATTAATGTTCTCCTCCTTCTGCATGTTGGGTGTAACCGAGCATACCATTACAATATTGTGGGAGTTTTTTTTTTATTACATAGTTTTTACCTATTGGGCATCAGCTTTAACTTCATTTTAATGGCTTGGTTGTCATTGGAAATGATGACAATTAGGTCAATAAAGTGGATGAATTCTTCATTGACTCCTTCATTTTGGCAGCTGAATCAACATTTAACTGTCAGAAATGAACACAGTGAAATAAAACTCTGCATTTGACCCATTCTAGTATGAAGAGGTTGGTGATTTATTTTATATAAACCTTGGGGATTGGTGTTAGGATCTGTAGGCTTGCTCAAAGGCACTTCTGCAGTGTCCAGAAGGCAAACTGGCATATCTCCCAGTACCGGTCCACACTCCCTACTTGGTTCCCAAGCCATGTCCCTATGGACTGAGCTGCCTGCCCATTTGAGCCAAGTATCAACTACAAAAACTTTGCACCTGGAAAGAAAAAGTGTTAAAGTCAGAGCATCATCCATCTAGAGGAGGCATGGCAGAGCGTGGCTTGATGTTTCTGACAAAGGCTTTGCTATGTCTGCCTGGAGCTTGACTCATCACGTTTGTACCCATTCACCAAGCTGCAGCACATATCCACCAGCCCTCGTCTCTGTGCCTTTCCACAACACGCTTTTCCACTTAAGCGAGGTGGCCGTGTCATGTTCAGGACCATCGAAGTGCAAAACTCAAGCTGCACCTCCTGCGAAACCTCAACGCCACCGCTCTCTGTGCACCAGCAGGCCTGCCTTGACCTCTGCTTGTCAGGCCTGGACACGTTTCCCAGAATGCTGTTGAACCATCTCTGGTTGACGAACAGCCACAGCTCTAAAAAGTTGGATTGAGAGAAGAAAAAAGGCAGAGCTGTTATCACCCTGCTCGCTCTGTCCATATCTTCAGCCTATTTTAAGAGAAAGGAGTTATTTCTGTCTTGGGATCCGGAAAGTGTTTTAGCAGAGAAGCCTAAGTGATCCTAACGCCACATTTTCATGATCGGCCTAGTTTCTAAAAATAAGAATAGCTTGAAATGAAGTATAGTTTTGATGGGTGGGAGTTTTTTTTTTTATTTCACAATTTCCGAGTGCTGACACAATATTATGAGTTGGCGTTTTGGGTGGGGCGGTAGACATATATTTTTGTTTCCACCTGTTGGCCGATGTATTTCACCGTGGAAGAGCACTGTAATTCTGCCCCTAACAGGATCAACACAGCTGCATTTAGAGGATTATGAGGCATTATGGAGCCTGATTTCAACTACATGTTATATGTCGTTTGGCCTCCATGACATCTATTTCACAATGCAGGAAATGAACCTGTTTGACGACTCACCTCTCATAGAAAAATCTCAACTGATTCTGTCGACTTCATCATCATCAGTCCACCCCGCTTTGTTCTTACCAAAGTAGATGCGGAGTTGTGATTATGTAATCCCTTCAAACTACTGAGTAAACATTTGTTTTACATCCTCCTGATGTGGGATGATTGATGTTTCTGGTTTACCGTGGCTGTGATTGATATTCATAATACTTTATTTGATTTCCGTGTACTTCAAAGACATGGTGGGGTTTTAAATATTTTAGATGTGTGAGGTTCTTGTGATCTGAACCTCACATCTGATCCAGGTCCCTTTAAACTCACGGCTCTTGCCTTTTTATTAGAGTTTATTTTATTGGGAGGGGGGGGGCTTTTCTGCCACAGCGATATGGGATAATGGCCCTAAGTAATGGATTTGTGGCTTTGGCTGAAATACAAGCAGGAGTTATGAACAAAATGACACTTTCAATCACATCATGTTTTTGTATTTCAATTAGTTTTTCCAACCAGAGAAAAATATTGATGCACTTTTTCAAACAATGCCTTATTGGCCGAGGTCAAATCCAAGTCACATTCAAAACCAGTTGAGAGGCAAAGTTATAAATATTTAGATTTGCCCTTGGCATCGGCCTTCTTGCCCCACTGTGGGGAAAAAAGTGTCCCGAAGAGCGTGTTGCAATGCTACAGAGTATTTGAACGCACCAGCTAAAGACGGGCGTGGAGGATTTTGGAGACGCGTTCTCACGACACTCCTGTGAAGCCTCAGATAGTTGCAGCCTCTTCATCTTGGATGGGCTTCTTCTTATCTTCCAGAGGAAGAGGGGGGACTGGGTGGTCACTTCTGATATGAGAACCTTGACTTTGGGTTCCCATTGTTACAGGACCTAAATGAATCAAGTAAAGATATAAACTGTGGCAGGGGAATGAACCTAATCGACCTAATATGTAATGCTGCTTTCACTCCATAAACCATATATTCTGCCTTTTTGCTTACTTTTCATACTTTTATAAGTTTGACATTTTATATGAACAAATCTCAGCACTACCCAACAGCTTATTCAAACATAAAGGAATGAAATACCCATCAGCCAACTGCTACTTACGGATGAATACATCGGTAATCATCATATGTAATAATATCAATAAAATACGTAAAGCCCTCTGCAAAGACTGCAACAGTGCCCTCAGGAAATGTTTGATTTTTAACTGCATTAAAATACAATTTAGCCATCAACTTTTTACTGGTGCATTTTCTGTATGGTTCAATGTTTACATTACAATAAACGATTGCTGAGAATAATTTTTAAACTGTTTTTTCCATCAATTGAATAAGCAATTGTAATTTGACAGAAAGCAGCAGAGAGGCAGAACTAAGTACACTTTAATATAACTCAGTTATCGTGACATTCAACAGAGTTTACATGTATCTCCTTCCTACCGGGCAGCCCTAAATCAGAGCTTTATTAGAGTTTAGTTATGCTACTATTAAGGATATGCACACTCCCTTGGAATTAAGCTTTAGTAGTTGTTTACATTTCATTAGACAAAAAAAGCAAACTTTGTAATTGTTAAAGCTGGAATAAACACCAGCAGTTCTACTAAGCACTCAAAGTCTAAAACTGTCAGAATAAAAGTGTAATTAATACATCTCTGGGTATTTGACCAGAACACTAAAGCACCGGTTTGATGGCAAGCCTTATCTGCATGCCAGATGTAGAACTCAGTTTTGTTGCTAATGTTTCTTAAAGCAGAAGTGAATCATGTTTTGTCATGGCCCTTGAGATTCCCGTTTGGCCTCACACCACGCTTCAAGGTCACAGCGGCTTCTGTGGGCAGGCCATGCTTTGCGCCTCCACATCCTCTCTGTGTCCAATGTGGGAACGCTTGAGAGGCCCCTGGCATGCTCCGTGAGAAACCCTACAACGGGGCAGCAGACCAGGGCTTCACTGACTCACCGCTTTCACTCTCTGAAACAAGTGAGTTTTCTTCATCCCTCCAGCCTGATGGAACCGAAACATCATTACAGGCTTAATAACAGACACAGCGGTCACTCTCGCCTCTGTGATGTAGCCAGAATAGTAATCCCCGGCTTCTCTCCGTCTTTTCATCAACTCACCAGCCCGTGAATGAAGCCAACAGGAATACAAACCACAGCGGGGAGCAGTATCCCTCAGAAAGGGAAGTCCAGAGGATTGTGGCTGTTGTATGTGGCACCGGGGACGTATAATCTGTGGTCTGTTTCGGGGCAGGAGTCCTCAGGCCCTGGGTTAGGCCTACTTCGGTCTCCCCGTGCAGAGAAGCATTCACAGTATTCCTGTTGCCCCACGCCCCTCTCAAGACATAGAAACAGTATTAATATGCCATGAATAGAGACAGACAGACAAGCATTATCTAGCGCTGCAGTTCTAGAGAAGCAGGATGCCTTGTAGAAAGCCAGAGGGAAATAGTTCTCTGCATGAATGCTGAAGTCCCCTTGACCACCGCCGCTGGTGTCATGTCAGCAAGACTTGTAGGGTTTGTGTGTTGGTTTTCCGGCTCACCCATTTGCCTAGGGGAGACATCCTCTTTGAATTATTAATAAGATGTGTTGATTCTTAAGAAATAACGCTTCCTGCAGTGGAAGTACGGTTACATTGGGATCTAGATAAAACGACACATTATGAACCGAGGAAACGGCTGCTAAGGACTCTCAGGATAAAGTATTTTCTTCCCCTGAGAGATCCCCTTTTGTGCAATCCGTTTTCATTTTTGAGCTATTCATTGATTCATGTCCGCGCAGTCGGAGAAGATACTCATTACCTCACCTCGGGTCACAGGTAAATATAAAACCATCGGTGAAATCCACAGACTTGAGTGGGAACTCTCCATATTAAATGACTACCTTGCATTGATCTAACGTCTTGGCCTTTGGTTGTCATGGAGATGTAATTGGACTTCCTTTATATTCTACCTATAAGTGTTCCTTTCACTGTGTGAATGAAATGGCATGGGAACAGCCCAGCCCTTTCAGCACCGTGTGATTGCACTCGTATGAGGTCTGCATTCGCCCACAGGCTGAGAAGAAACTCTTCAATGGTTGGTCGGGCTCACCACTTGAATGCACATTAAAGCATCGGGTTCTGCCCAGTGGTTGTGGTGAAGTTCAATATGTTGCTTTACATGATTAGATATGAGATTACACTACATTATCAGATTAGATTCCCTTTTTATATAATGGCATATTCGTGTACATTTGTTCCCCGTGTATATCCAATTGTTAATTTTGTTGTGCGATGCTAAGAAACATTTTTCAAATGCTCTGGAAAACGAAACTTTAGGGACAATTTTTTTCTATCAGATAAATGGGTTATAATCACAAAATCAAAATTACATTGGAAGCTTGATAAAAATGGGTATCTGCATTAAAGCAAAACAATGTAACATATTTGTTTCTCCTACAATTACATTACATTTAGCTGACGCTTTTATCCAAAGCGACTTACAGTAAGTGCATTCAACCAAGAAGATACAAATTTGAAGAAAAATGAATCATATAAGTACATCAGGTTTCATAGAGCCAATTCAATGAAAAACAAAGTTTTGTTGTAAACATTACGCCATATATATTTACCATCTATGTCTACTACTTCTTTACAATTTACACCAAAAAGAGCCGGAACTAAAATTAGTTCATGAGAACCTTTTTACCCCCTTTTCCGTCCCTGCTAGAGAGCAGGGACTCTCATGCAGCTCTCTTGTGAGAAAAGAGCTATATTTCTGATTGGCTGGGCGGATTGCAAACCACGCCCCGTAAAACAAAAAAAAAGTGTTCTGAAGCCACCATTTTATTAGCATTATTAGCATTAGCCCAGCGCAGAAACGCAGAGAGACTAATTTATGGCAACACAAAATAAAACATGGGAGCGGTGGAGATGAGGAGGTGTCGGTGTTCTGGCGATTTACTCGGAAGGCTTCAGTAGAAGCTGCTGGGAGTCCCAGCAGCTTCTACTGAAGCCAGTCCCTAACTCCGGGGAATTCCGGACGGGGATTTTGGGCGGCAGTATACGCCGTGAAGTTGTTTGCGGCCTGCCAGTAAACCCAAAGCAGAAGAAGAAGAAGTGACGTCAGCGGCTTCATTTGCCTAATCCACCCCCAGCCTGGGACTTATTCCGGTGTGAACGCGATCTGTACTTAGTTCATCAGAACTCTTTAGTTCTGATTAACTAAGTTCTCATGAACCTTTGTGGGAAAAGTACTGCGGTGTGAATGTGCCTAATGACACCAGTGTTTCTGCCAGACCAGGGCTGAGAGGGCGTCCACCTCGAGTGCGGGGGGGGTGTTGATTTTCTCGTTAAGAAGGTGAGTCCCTCGGTTCGATGGGTACCGGTTTCAACGATGACGGTGTATATTTTATGAGTATTCTGCATTACTGTCTTTCTGTTTCGTGTTTGTTTATTGGAAATCTGGGAACGTCCCTTATTTTGTGTGTCTTTACACGAATATGGAGGAAACTACTATTAGTTTTTCTGGACCAAAGAAAGGAAAGATTACGAAGCGGGAAATAAACTACCAGTAATACGATTGAGAAGTCATAGGTGTGGTATGTAACGGTTTGAATTTACTGTGTAATTATTTCACAATAATGTTTCACAATTCACACTTTTTCAGCCATAACTTGACGGAAACTTCTAAGAAGCTACCAACGAAAAGGTAGTAGCTACAGGAGCTAGATGTAACCCACAAAAAACTCGTATTTGATTTGGGGGTGGGGGGGGGTAGATATGTAACAGACAACTTTATACTTAAATGACTAACGACCGTCCACAATTCATGCTTACCTATATAACTCTTCTTTTGTTAGTATGAATTGTACTTTACAAAGTCGCGACACTTTAGTCCATGACGATTTGATACACAACATATTGGTATCGATCTCGTAGTTTCGATTGGGAGTAATATGCAACTGTGAATTGATGACCCTTTACTAGGATTATGCCACAAGATTGCTTATGTTTTCCACATGGTGTGAATATATTTATGCTGTTAAAAGTGCTAGCGATGGTCCAAAACACAGTAGTCGCAAAGAGCGGTCCCCCCGCGAACTGGCAGTAAACTGCGGGAATAGTCGAGCCCTGCAGGGACTTTGAGCTCGGCTCCCGCAGGTTTTTTATAATTATTAAACTCTCTTCGTAGCTCTCAAAAATAGTAACTTACTTCTGTTCCTTTAGTCCTGTTCCTGTAGGGAGACAACCCTCCCCCGTTTCCTAGACCACCCTAATAAAAAACCCCCTTATAACTTCTAGCAACGCTGGTAGCTTCACGACGATTCCTGTTGTGCCTGCACGCGCTAAACCTGCCCGCTACTCACCCCGCCCGGCCCAATCACCTCGTGCCGCGCACTCGACCGGCTTCGTCGGTCTCGGAACGTCGCCCTTTGACTCCGAAGGCACCATTTGACACCATTGTACTTCTCGGCAAACCCTTCGTGCTTTGTCGGCAGCTAAATTTCTCTCGGCTCGCAGTTTACTAGTCCTGAGTGATTGCACTTTTCTGTCATAGATATTCCTCCGAGTCAGTTTGAATAGTTTTNCCCCGCTGCAGCCTAGCAGCTGATCTCAAAGCATGCTCCCCTCTCCTACAGGGTGGCGTGCTCAGCTGCAGCTCACAGAATCAGCCCCCTGCATAAACAGCGCTGGAAAGAGCAAATAGAGCGAAATGAGGCATGGCTAAAATGCAGGATCTGTTTGGTATTTTGAAAAAAAAACGATATTTATATACTTTATATAGGTATGGCCCTACAATATATTGTTCAAATATAGCATGATAGGTCCACTTTAAGTTTTAAATAAATGTTGAGTTAATTAATTTAAACAATTTTTTTAAATAAAAACATCTTATGGGCATATGAGTATGGTGTGATTCTTCTAGAAGTTGCCAGATGATATTAATAAAAACATTTTTAGGGAAAATACTTGGCATACTACAATTTGTAGTTTCTGAACAGGCCTCATATTTCTGTCTGTGTCTCAAAATAAAGCTGTCCTACATTATTCATCTTGATACTGATCTTGCAAAAACATTCAGCTAGGATTTAGTAAATAAATCTTATATTTTCAGACTGTCAAAGCAAAACAAAATAATGACGTCTTCTGTTTTTCTTCTAGGACCCCGCTGTGCGAATGAGTGATTGATGCCAACTTCGCTTCTTCAGGTAAACCAGCATTCGTCACACACAGGCTAATGTTATGCAAGTATTTCATTTAAAATGTTAGAGTATTACCTTCCTAAAATGAGCATGTGGGATTAGGATTGAAGAATTGAATAAATACATAGGGGATTATAATGCACATAAATCCTGACTCTATCATAACAACACGACATGGCCCTCGTAACCAGTGTTATTGAACTTAATGAGATTTGTTCCTGTGTCTGACCCTCTTGTCCCTTTTGTTGTTCACCCTCCATGTAGGGCAGAATGGGTGTGTGTCCCCTGCTCCTGCTGCTCGCTCTCGCCCTCGGGGCCTCAGCCCAGGATCATGTTCCCATCACAAGTAAGAACCACTTATCTGAAATCCCTTTACTCACAATTGCAAGGATTGAATTAAGAAACTTAAATGCTCTTCTTTTTTCTTCATTATAATTTCCAGATCCTCCAAGTATCACTGCCAAACCCACAGACCCCCTTGCCGCTCCCTCCCTCAACTTCACAGTGGCACACACACAAGCCCCCACAGGCCCACCCACAACGCTCGCCCCCGCAGTCATCCCGGTGACGACAATAACAACAACAGAAGAAACAACCACAGGCCCACCAGCTGGTGAGGGGGATGTACAACTGCCGGGTCCGAGTGCCACCGCGCTGTTACCGATCCCCGCCCCCTCACCTCCAACCGATGCCCCCGCGGCACCACCGAGCACCGAGCCCCCCCCTCCTCCCATCCCGGCGGGGGGAGACAACGAGACCACGGCCTTCCCTCCAGAAACCCCAACTCCAGATTATGACGATGAGGATATATTCAATTTGGAGCCGGAGACCACCACAGAACCCGGGATGGGCTTCACCTCAGACAGCAGCCCACATGGTGAGTGTATACTCAGGGCGCTCAGTTTATTCCATGTGAGAGAACATAATATACCTCTTAAGAGACAGCTTACCCCAAAATAAAAATAATACATATTGTTCTTATTGCCTGTAGTGCCTTTGTTTAATCTAACCTAGTCTTGTTTAAGCTTCAGAGTATTAAAGATATCAACTGCAGGGATGTCTGCCTTCGCTAGATGACGTTTGCTTGTGGTGCATCAAAAACACATTTGAATGACTCAGAAATCATGACACATTAGCTCAACATAATCCTTGTTGTGAGCAGTTCCATGTAGGAACTATTTTATTTCTACCGAACTACACCTCCAAATGTATCGCTGCGGAGAAGGAAGCATGCATCTGGATGAGGGACTCACTTGAGTTCACCTGAGCTAGCCGACGTAACAGCTCAGTTGACGAGGAGCTTGTTCATTTCTACATCTTCAATGTTACATCAAGAATCTTGTCCTTGACTAGATGCATGTAATACAGTTGGCATGTGCAGTTCGGCAAGGAGAAAATAGTTCCTGCATGAAACTATTTAAAAAAACTCTGTGGATTTTCTCGACTAACCAGGTCATGATTTCTTTAAAGAGACATTGCTTAAAGCCCCGGCCACACGAGGACGATAACGCAAACGAACCGCAATCGCTATCAAAAAAGTCTTCCGTCCACACGCAACAGGGACCAGAAACGTGTGCGTTCACACGAGACCGCTCGAAAGCGCTGGAGACGCTGTAGTATTATGTCAGGCCTATAAGTGGCGCTGTAGTCCTGCCACAAAAGCAGCGAAGAAGACTTCCCGCCATGGTTGCCCTTCTGTTTATTCTCCGCTCTGGCCCTTTTTCTCCCTCCTGAGGCAAGCGCTGTAAATCTCTCCAGTTTGCCACCAGCGGATGAAAAACACCCACCTTTCCGCCTCTTCCAAGGAACGAGGGGACCGTGCGGCAGAGTTTCAGTTAGATTTTTTTTCGCCGGTCAACATGTCCGTTAAAGTTTAAATCTTCTGGACAAAATTAGAAAAGTGCCGGTCAAAGGTCTTCCTCGTTATTTATTGAGCTTTAAAACAAATGAATAACGACTCTATATAATAATATAAGAATAAAAAGCGGAGCCTCTCTTTTCCTCTCCCTCTTCTGAGAGCCCAGCAGCTGATCTCTGAGCAGGAGAGGCGGGGCTATTGCGTCATCGTTATCAGGACATGATCGTATAGGCGTAACCATGGAGCCGTTTGCCCCCCCAGTGCGTTTAGTTTGCAGATCTACCCACCTTGGGACCCGTTGGGATCGTTATCTGCGTTTCCATGTCGGCCTCGTGTGGCCGAACCGTCCATGCAGTGGCGAGCCCCCCGTCAGGGCCCTCTAGGCCCTCTGTGAGGGCCTAAGGTATTCTAAAAAATAATATTTGAAAACAGAAAAAAATATATATATATTTTTTATATATTTT